GAAAGTCTGTAACATAAGGTGTACATAAACCTGAAATATATACAAAAAAATGATCAAGAAACAAGCATTAAAACCGAGAACAAATAGAAAATTAGTAATGTACCTTTGTGAGCATGAGAGATGACTGATCTCTTAGCAATACGAGCCATTTCCAATCTGCGAATACCCTCTAGCATTGGCAAAAAAAGCAAACTCCCTAGCCTTTGCGATTGTGTTGTTGAAAGACTTTGTAGAATTATTTTCTACATCTTCACAGTAGTTACCGAGCTTGTAGAAGGCTCTACACCATGTCCTAGGTTTACTCTTCTGAACATCATCATACACAACAGCATCATAGCATCAAATCCTATCTAAACGTTGCTCGAACTCAGCCTCGTTGTAGCTCCATGCCAAATGCCATATCAGTGACTTCATCTCCTTTCTACTAGCATGATTCTTCTTCAGATTACCATAGATATGGCGTACACACATTCTGTGTTCAATCAGTGGTAGTTCAGATTGAACAACACTTATCAATCCCTAAAAAAAAAACATCAAAATTCATCATTAACAAACAACCAAAAGCACATAAGACAAACATCAAAACTCATACCTTTTGTCGATCTGACACCAGTATGTAGCCAAGCCCCTGATTCAAGCCCAATGCATCTCTAATCTTTCTCACAAACCATAACCAGTTTTCTGTGTTTTCCACTTGAACAGCCCTCATGCTATTGGATATATAGCATTATCCGCGTCTCTTCCTAATGCAACAAGAAGCTGTCCCTTGACTTTGTGCTTTAAGAAGCATCCATCGACTCCTATCAGTGGCCTACATGACTGTTTCCATGTGTTCCTGAGGTTATCAAAGCAAATAAATATCCTGTTGAACTCTTCGATCACTTTCTCACCAGTCGTGTCAGTAAGAGTCTCAATCTCCACAGTCGAATCCGGGTTTGATTCCAGCAACTCAGCAGCATAATCTCTTAGCCGGGCAAACATATGATCATTCTCAAACTCAATCCACTTTAGTGCCTTGTTTCTTGCAGCCTGACACTGAGGCCTAGATACCGTAATCCCCCATTTTTCATAAACCAATTCTTCAATCTTCATTGGCATGTAGTACTCCGGTTCCTCTCTAATCTTATCAACAAAAATCCTTGCAATTTGAGGCACTTTTAACATCTCACATTCACCATTTGGAATACATGAATGCTCCTCTTTGAAGACTCTAATTTCCCAGACATTATCCTTAGGAAGAGTGGACGCATACACTTTCCATTCACATCCTTTAGCGCCAACACATATGAACCCAATCTTATCCTTATCATACATGTATTTCTTGATATTCCGGCCTGTTCTCAGAGCATAATCAAGCACAGAGTCCTTGAAAGCCACACCATTCAAGAAACGTTTCCCCTTGTAAAGTCTTCCAGCATCGCGTTTCACAGGGACCACCTTCTTCACCTTCTTACGAGGTTCATCTCCCTCTTTCTCATCCTCACTCGAAGGACACTCGTCGTGCCGTATAGGAGCCTCGTCGATGGATTCTTCCAGTATTTTCTCGATCTCGTTATCTTCTCTCTCAACTGTTTCTTCATCAAACTCCTCACCGTTAACTTCATTAGCCATGGAATCTCTTCGATTGGGAACTTTTCTTCGTCTCTCTTCTCTTTCTTTTGCTCTGATCTCTCTGGTTAATTAGGGTTTGAGAAAGAAACGGATTTGGAAGATTTTGGTCGGGTTTTTAGAGTAATCGGGTCTTAGCCGGATCTAATATCGGTTTATTAACTTAATTCCACCAGACATTGGTATAATCTGGGTTATTATGGTTAACCAAATCACCTACGAACAGTAAACCAATGTTTAACCAGCCATATGGAGAATTAAGATTCGAACTTTGTAATCGGGGACATCTAGATTTTTAATTCTAATTGGTGGAGAAATAGAATTCGAAATTTTTAATCGGGGAGAAACGGAACGAGCCAATAGTTTGGGAGACATCTGGTGCTATATGATACTACTCGTGGGGAAATAGATCGTCTACCCAAAATTTTTAAAAATAAACTATGGTCAAAAATAAAATTGATCTAAATGGATTCCGAGTTTAAAGTGATGGCTTTAAATTGGACGGATTACCCATTTTAACATCAATGCAAACAAATTTGATTTTTTATTATATTTTCACAATGAAAACTATCACATGCTTTTGAAGCGCATATCAAAATCTACCTGTTTACTTATAACTATGCTTTTGGGATCTTAGTAAATATTTTCAAAATCCAAATAAATATTACATTCTTTATATTATTACATATTTATCTTTTAAAGTAAACCATATGTGTTTATGTATTCTAAGTAAAATATTTATTTAAACAACCATTATATTATTTTTGCAACATTTCCGTTACTGTAAATCTTAATTTTTGATATATCTGAAAAGTTGTTTGCCGTTAAAAATCTCTATTAATGCCATTATGTTAATTCTTACAGTACTTTTAGGTTGCTTAATCTTATTATGTAGTTTAATCAACTAACTTTGATACTAACCTACCAACTATAATAAAATACAAATATATCTAAAAATTAATATGGACTTTATAATAAAATGTTTTCAATAAATGTTATGTAATGTGGAATAATGGGTCAATGTTGACTTTGTTATATGGCCCAAATTTTCTCAAATAGCTGGGTACTGATTTAAGCAAAAAAGATTGATTCTATGCAACTTCAGAGTGATTAGTTTTGTACTTCAAAATAAAACAAACAAAAAGAGTTTCATAAAATCATAAACAGTAGTCTAAATAAAAAAAATTTGTGAACTGCAAGTGTTGAATACCATCGCTGAAAAAGTCTTCAATGAGTGAATGTGGCATTTTGATCATCAACCAGAGGCTGTCCATGCACAACAAGAGGAGCATCAGTATCTTCTCCAAACTGTTGAGGAGCAGTATCATCACAAGGCTTTTGAGGAGCAGTATAACGAAACACATTGATTTTTACGCATAAAAAATCATATATTTTTTCAAAAGAACATTTTTAGTGCACTCATAACAATCATTAATGTAAATTGTCAGAAGTGAAATCTAGAAAAGATCAATTGAATGGTACGGAGACAGAGAATTGGGGGGGGGGGTTAATGTATATTAGAATCAAGTAGTATGATAAACATCATTTTGATTATAAATTCGAAATAATCCTCCCAATTTCATCATTGAATCTTGCTCTTTGTCTTTTTATCTCTAACTATGATTTCCACAATTGCTTTTAAAATGATTTATAAACCTGATTAAGATGAATGTCTATATGAAAGAAAAGAGACAGAAATCCATATATAACTGATGGCTTCACTTAACACCCGATGAAGGAAATAGATCAAGTAAAGTGAAATGGTTTCTTCAGCCGTCTTTAATTTATTTTTTTTGACAGTTTATAAAGATAGCATTTGCTATAGTCAGGAATAATTTTTTGTAAGATCTTGATTGTTTGAAGATAAACTAAGGTGAAACAGTTTCTTCAGTCTTCTTTATAAAAGAGAAACTTACTTTCTCGGATAACTTTAAAAGTTAGTTTTAAGCATCCAATAAAATATAAAAAAAAATTGATTTTGGTAAAAGAAACTATTGCCTCGTAGGAACTTTTTCAAAAAAAAATTAACACATTTTTATTCATTATTTGTAAACGTAAAACAGAAAAAATGTATGGAAAAAATAGAAGGCCTCTGAAATTCATTAGTAGCTATAAACACGATGAATGAAAGGGATCAATTAACGCGAAAATGATTTTTCCAATTTTCTTTGTTGAAGAAACATATGTTGTCTCATAATATGTGTTTTAAGTAAGCTTTTAGTCTTAAAAAAAAAGGAAAAGCAAAATAATGGAATTTCCTTTGTTTTGGCGTGGGAGCCTCTTTTTCAAATAATTTGGATCATTTATGGATATGTGAATCTTCTCTCCAAATCTCTCTCAAATTATATCTAATCGTAAACTAAAAGCGTAGCCTAAACAATAGTTTAAAATAACTACTATAGGGTAAAAACGTTCATGGATCTCTTTCCAAATAAAGAAACTTCTGGACTAAAATGCAATTTTTGATACTTGTGTCGGTTAGCTCATACGGCACGGGTGGCGAACAAACCAAGAGTGAGTGTCGATCAACACCATCTCCAAATATCAACTTCGACTTCAACTTTTCAGCTTCACTTCTCTTGATGCTCCAAATGGCTCTATAATCTCCAAAATGCTCCAAAACGTCCATGAACCTATAAAGTCTCTAAAACAGATTTGAACACACATAATATACACTCTAAAACCGGAATTTGCCATGTTTAAATCCATTAAAACCAAGATATATCAATATGCGTATAATACAACTTATATTTTGTTTACTTTCGTCGAAATGAAAGGCATGTTGACTACAAAACACATACTTACGAATAGAGATATCACAAGCATAATACATAACCTTATAAGTAGCACAAATAGTATGACACACGAATGTTTATGTATAAAATGCATAATAACAATACAAAAGGACCCCTGACCGTGTTTGGCGATTTGGACTACTCAAGCTTGTAAGAATCAACTAGGAGAAGATCGATTGAACGAGGATGACAAAGGATATCACAAAATAGGCATAAAAACACAATACACAACCATATAACTTCGACTTCAGATCATTCAGATCAGATTCGCGTCCGGTTTAGGGTTTGGGGTAAAATGCCCAAGCCTATATGGCGGTTATAATTTCACAGATTTTAAGAATTTAGTAGTGGTCATGTGTTTTGATGTTCGATCTGAGAAAGTAAGTTTTACTAAGGACCTATAGATGCCGTGTTTTGTGGAAAGGGTGACATATTTATAGAGTAAAATTGGAACCTAGCTTCTATTTTTTGAAACAACTTTATGGTCGGTCCCTTCCCTTTGATTTATGGATACTAGAAGATGCCGAGAAACATGAATGGTCAAAGCAAACATGTGTGCTTCCCTCCGATGCGTGGGAGTCTGTTTCGTGCCACATAATGTCTTTTCGAGGCACCAATAAAGCTGGTGAGATCATTATTGTCCCAAGCGTGGTGTCGGCAGTCAAAGTCCAATCCTTCTACATATTCTACTACAATGTAAGAACAAACAATGTCAAAAGAGTTAGGCTACTGGGAATTGGAGACAATGAAGAGTTTAGATGCTCTTATGGATTCGTAGACTATGAATGTTTTGTCTGTGTCACACCTCACCACGTTGACAGTATTGCCTTTTTTAAGAATCATGTAACCTTATCTCTTACTTATGTAAGAGAGCTTGGTGAACTCTCACGTATGTTTTTGTTTTTGTTTTCAAGTGTTGGTTTTTATAAACACCAAACAAGCTCATTTATTTTATCTTCTCTGTTTTCATTTTGAGTTATTTTTGTATCTTTTAGCCTTTTTCTTGATATCATGCAGTTACTCTAAGGTCAATGGAGTGATGAAGAATGTTTCTATATAGAGTTTTGGAAGAACCGGGTTGTTTGGAGACATGTCACGTGGTTATCATTCCAGTGACAGTCATTTACAAAATTGCTGCTTGAGAAAGAAATTTTTTTTTGTTCTACGCAGAGTTTTGTGTGATGAAAAAAACTTGTAAAAGTTGATAAGAGAAAGCTTTAGGAGAATGTGTGTGTTTGGAGTGGTTTTGTGATGATATGATTAAACCTAATCTAACCTTTGATATTTTATTAACTTAAAAAGTGAGTCTTCTTGCATTGTTTTTAAAAATTGACAGTGGTGAGAGCAAGCTATACTAATAAAAAGAATCTTTTGAGTTTCCATTAAACATCCACATTATCATAAAATCATTTTTTAAAAAGGCTCATTTTAAATATATTTAAATTATTTTTATATTTGTGTTCCCATCTGTAGAGGTGGATTTAACCCTAGTAGACAACCCAAAAACAACGAAACAATAATTTATACAAGTTCGAATAAGAAAAGTTCATTTAAAAAGAGAGTAGAAGATATTTTTGTCAATCTAGCCATCTAGGCAGTGTTTAGTATATACATACATAATGATGTCAGCTTCTTTGTATTTCTTGTGATACACGAAAAATGGTCATTTATTGTAGAATAAGTGACTCACATTGCGGATTGATCAACTTTTTTGGGGGCAAACAGAGAGTGTTTGGTTGCTGAGAAGATGATATTCTCATTTGGCATTGAAGTTTCTGGCTTATTTGATTCCATCTCCACGCATAAACTAACAAACAGACACATGAAGCCAAAATAATTTGATTGGGTTGACTCACTCACACGTAAGCCGTGACGCTGAAACTAGTTTATCTTTATATGCCAAATAAATATAACAAACAACAACTCCAATTTCATTCACTTTTAGTTGGAATAAAATGAAAATGAAATCAGTTTCTGCCTTTTAAACAATTTTGTAAATCCTTAATCTGAATTAGCCTTTACATCTGTTTGATAATCTCTTTTTCATCCAACAAACGTCAAGCCACGTCAACTGTAACGTACCATAAACAATGGTTAAAGAATAAATCACATGAATCTCTTTACAATCTGTTTGATAATCTCTTATCATCCAACAAACGTCAAGCCACGTCAATGGTAACGTACCATAAACAATGGTTAAAAAAAAAGAAGTCACGTGAATACATAACAAATGCGAGATCGGAATTTGCGATTCTTATCTAAAAAGAGAGTCTTTTTTTTTTTCTTTTTTTTTTGGGGACTGATTATGATTTGTGAACCCAAACACTGACTTCTTCGACTTCCACTTCGACTTAGACGTGAGGCTTCTCCTAGTGCTTGTCGAGTTGTATTCTACTCAAAAGTCTCCCACTTTTTGTATATACAAAACATTTAGGCATTACATAGTTTATTGACAAAGCTCCAAACTTGGAACTATCGCGAACCAAAAGGGTAATGCTTTCCTTCTTCTTCTTCTTCTTCCCCCATGTCATCTCTCTCTCTCTCTAGAAGCTAAAAGTTGATGCTTTTCTGGATTATCAAAAGTCTGCTCCTTTGTTATTCTACTTACTAGTTTTTGCTTGCTGATTATATAGTCACTGTGTGTTACATAGCCTTTTTTGTAAAGCAAATGCCTTTTCTTGTTTTCCAGTTTTGGGTTATCCAAGAAAATGGGTTTTGAGGAGGCCTTGACTTGGTACTGCAAGCCAGTTTCAGACGGCTTTTGGGAAAAAGCAGCTGATGCTGCGTTTGGCTCATACACGCCATGCGCTATTGACTCACTTGTGATGCTTGTTTCCCATTTTGTTCTTCTTGGTTTGTGTTTCTACCGGATATGGACCATCTTCCACAATACCAAAGCTCAGATATATGTTTTGAGGAACAAGTACTATAACGTTGTGCTAGGGATATTAGCTTGTTACTGTTTTGTTGAGCCGGTGCTGAGATTGGTCTTAGGGGTTTCACTCTTTGACATGGATGAAGACACTGATCTTCCTCCCTTTGAGGTAGTTTCAGATTCCAACTCTGATTCTTTTAATTGTATGGAGATTAAACTCCTATGCCCTTCTTGTTGAAATGAAGTGGGGTTCTGGTGTTGTACTATGGCAGGTTGCATCTTTAACTGTTGAGGCATTTGCTTGGTTCTCCATGCTTGTTTTGATTGGGCTGGAAACCAAACAGTATGTCAAAGAGTTTCGATGGTATGTGAGATTTGGTGTTGTTTATGTTTTGGTTGCTGATGCTGTGCTACTGGACCTTGTGTTGCCTCTAAAGAACTCAATCAACAGGTTAAAAATCTAGCAAAACTTTTGAAATGGGAAAATGTTTTTGTGGGGCATTGGTAGCTTTAACCATGAGTGTCATACTAAGTTTTCCTCTACTTGCTATTGCAGAACTGCCCTACATCTCTGTATCAGTTCAAGATGTTCTCAGGTTTGTTAGAACTTGGTCCCTCTGTATAAGCTTGCAATTCATTGTTGTGAAAACTTACATCTAAAAAGCTTGGGTCTTTATAAAAACGTCTTCAAACTGAAAGATATAAGCTAGATTTTAAATGCTTGGCCTCACTGTTTAAGTATTCATTTGTTTTTATTTCTGTTGCAGGCTCTTTTTGGGATTCTTCTACTTGTTTACATTCCGGAACTGGATCCTTATCCGGGATACCATATTCTAAACAACGAACCTTTAGACAACGTTGAATATGATGCACTTCGCGGGGGAGAGAACATATGTCCCGAGCGGCATGCCAGCATATTTTCCAGTAGGTTGCCACTGAATCCATAAACAAAGGTTTTTTAATGCTTAGTGTATCGGAAAACAATACATGTTTTAGCAATATATAATAGCCAAGAAAGATACAGTAGCTTCATGGTTTCCATTTGTTACATTGATCTTGATTTGTTTTCTTAGGAATATACTTTGGTTGGATCACGCCACTTATGCAGTTGGGCTACAGAAAACCCATAACTGAAAAGGATGTTTGGCAATTAGATAAGTGGGATCAAACAGAAACTCTGTTCACAAGGTACACAAACTTCGTTGCTTTTGCCTCTGCTTTCCTTATCTTTCTTTTTTTTCTTATGGTAGAAATTTTTCATTAGAATCAAGAACATTCTTATTTATTGGTTGGATTATCTGACAGATTCCAAAGATGCTGGACAGAAGAATCGCAGAGACGCAAGCCGTGGCTTCTCCGAGCACTGAATAGTAGCCTTGGTGGAAGGTAAAGGCTGATGATCTTTCTAAAAACCGCTGATGACACTGTAGTTTCCTTTTCAGTCAGAGATTAAAAATTTTGTGTACTCTCTTTGTAGGTTCTGGTTAGGTGGTATCTTTAAGGTAAAGATCTTATGGTTTAATTTCGGTTCTCTTAAAATGATGGTTGCTTAAACAGTTAAACTTGTATTCCACCTCTCGGTTGCCTATTATACATCCCAACAAGTCTCTAGGCTGTTATTTTCCCGTGCATCCACAGCAATATTCAGTTATGTATTTGACACTCTCAAACAGTTTAAATTCATCATGTTTTGGCGTGGTGTAGATTGGAAATGACCTTTCCCAATTTGTTGGACCGGTTGTACTGAGCCACCTATTGCGGGTAAGCTATGTTTCTCCTTACTTACCAAAACAATTTTACCTAGTTTGTTTCTGGCCTGTGCTTCTACATGATGTTTATATTTTACACGTACTTCACGGTCATCACATATACTGCCTAGTTATGTTTTACACATGATGATTCAGTCTTGAGAAAACAACGCCGTGACATATATTTTCATAGGCTGCAAATATTTGAAATCTTACCAGGGACCTCCCTGACTTTATACTCAGATAATATTTAACGCTTCTTCGTTTCTGAATCTTATGATCCTTTTATGTAGTCAATGCAAGAAGGTGATCCAGCTTGGGTTGGCTATGTCTATGCTTTCTTAATTTTCATTGGGGTGGTAAGTATTACAAAGTTCGCTGGAATGTCTTTAACTGATGTGTTTAGTTTTCTACCATTACCCAGAGAATTCAAGAACTTTCACATTATTTTAATTCTCACATTGTTGTTTTTCTTGTTGAAACCTCTGAAATGCAATTCTGTATCGGTATTTGTTTCAGACACTTGGAGTGCTCTGTGAAGCTCAGTACTATCAGAATGTTTGGCGTGTGGGATTTCGGTTGAGATCAACTTTGGTAAAGTTTGTGAAATGCCATCTCTCTCCCATTTGTGTGATCAGTTTAGTCATGTTTATTCTCCAACTAATTATGATATTTTTCTCCTAGGTTGCTGCTATATTCCATAAATCTTTAAGACTAACTCATGAAGCTCGCAAGAGTTTTGCATCTGGGAAGGTCACAAACATGATAACTACAGATGCTAATGCACTGCAGGTATACTTATGTGTTCAATCTTCTTTCTCAGTTTGATACTAATTTTGCACAACTAATGATCTGTCTCCTGTTCTTTTGCAGCAAATATCACAACAACTCCATGGCTTATGGTCAGCTCCTTTTCGCATCATTGTGTCTATGATTCTTCTCTACCAACAACTAGGAGTTGCTTCGCTTTTTGGTTCATTGATTCTGTTTCTCCTAATTCCTCTCCAGGTATTAAGTTTGTTATGTTCTTCTTCCTATTCTTGAATTGTACAAGTTGTGGTAATTGCGCGAAAACTCGTACACATATTTATTATGTTTTGTGATAAACAGACTGTGATTATAAGCAAAATGCGGAAACTGACTAAAGAAGGGCTCCAGTGGACTGACAAAAGAGTCGGTATCATGAATGAGATTTTAGCAGCCATGGATACTGTAAAGTATGATTGGTACTTCTAATCGTTTCTTTTTCAGCTTTTCTGAATGTCACATTCTTAAAGCAGTTGTTTTACTATTTTTGGCATTTTCCAACTTTGTTAGATGCTATGCATGGGAAAAGAGCTTTGAGTCGCGGGTTCAAGGAATTAGAAATGAAGAGCTCTCATGGTTTCGTAAAGCGCAGCTACTATCAGCTGTATGGCTACTTATCTTTGATTTTGTATTGCCTGTAGTTAATAGGATGCATCTGTCTCGTCTGCAATTAGTTAACAGGATGCAACTTACCAAGATATGTCTTCCACTATTAACATTTCTTCCCGTGATGTTTTTCCTCTTGCAGTTTAACAGTTTTATACTGAACAGTATCCCAGTAGTTGTGACTGTAGTTTCATTTGGGGTTTTCGTTCTGCTTGGAGGAGATTTGACACCAGCCAGGGCATTCACATCGCTTTCTCTGTTTGCAGTTCTAAGATTTCCTCTCAACATGCTACCAAATCTTCTAAGTCAGGTTATTTTGTGTAAATTTCTGTTACATAATCAGTCATCTTGATTTTAATCCATCTTATTTAGTTGTCTTCTCTATGATACATATTCACTTAGGTTGTTAACGCAAATGTTTCACTTCAACGCATTGAAGAACTACTTCTAAGTGAAGAGAGAATTCTAGCAGAAAACCCACCTCTTCAACCAGGGGCTCCAGCCATTTCCATTAAGAATGGATATTTTTCATGGGATTCAAAGGTGAATCCTCTTAAGTTTCCCTCTTGTTTAGATAATTTTAAGCTGCAACATTAGATTTTACGATACTGATGGTTGTTGTGCTCAAATGTTCTCCAGGCAACTAAGCCCACATTATCCAATATTAATTTGGAGATTCCAGTCGGAAGCTTAGTGGCCATTGTAGGTGGGACAGGAGAAGGTAAGACATCACTTGTTTCGGCAATGTTGGGGGAGCTGTCTCGTACCGAAACCTCAAGCGTTATTATTAGAGGCTCAGTAGCTTATGTTCCTCAAGTTTCATGGATCTTCAATGCCACTGTGAGCCACCTTTACTTCTCGTTGGGTCTGACAGCAGAAGAATAAAACTATAGTTTTAGCTTTCAGCTGCTTTATTTTCATTTGGTCAACTAGTTCGTCAGGAAGTGTCCCAATACAAGTGTCTATGTTGTGCAGGTGCGTGATAACATATTATTTGGGTCGGGTTTTGAAGCTGGAAGATATTGGAGGGCGATTGATGCTACTGTCTTACAACACGATCTTGATTTGCTTCCGGTTGGTGGAGTGAAAGGCTTACACAACCCAGTTACATTTACTTGATATGACATTTCTTAGTAGTAAATTCTTGAATTGGTTTATTCAGGGTCGTGATCATACAGAGATTGGAGAACGGGGGGTGAATATTAGTGGAGGGCAAAAGCAGAGAGTTTCAATGGCTAGGGCAGT